TAGGCTTTCGATAAATTTTCAACAGACCAGTACATTTAGATGGGAACGGGATAAAAAGTAAACATGCGGGCAATTACGTTCATAATTACAGGCAAATTAGTCATGGGAATAGAGTATGGGGGTTGGGGGTTGATAATATGCCTTAGTCATGTTCCAGAAAGCAATAGGCTAAAAATTAAACTGTAGATTATTAAGGAGGTTTGGCAGATTTGCTTAATTTATTTGACCCAATTGTGGAAAAAACTCGCGGTGTACGCCGGGATTTGAAACCGCATAGTACGGAAGGCCTTAGCGTGGAGCCAATGCTCTCCCAGTTGACCTACAAACGCCACACTTTGTGCCGTTAATTTAATCACACTTGGATCGATTTTACCCGCCCAAAGTTACCGCTCGTATGGAATCCACCAATACGGAACAGCAAGCCGACTGCCCACGGAGGATTTCCTAAGCGATCATTTAGAATCCACCAGAATGACTACTAGGCTGACTTATTATTTAAGTTTGGCGGATTTGTTTGATTGATGTTGACCCAATTGTGAAATAATCGCCGTGTTCGCCGGGATTTGAACCCACATAGTACGGGAGGACTTAACGCGAAGCTAGCGCTCTACCCTTTGTGCTACAAACGCCACGTCATGCGCCGGCGTAGATCTCAATGATTTGTGTTAGTTATGAGGAAAAACCATCAGTCCGTCGGTAGATAGCGTCCTTTAGAAGCGAAAGACAATATAATGCTCAGCGGTTGCAATAGTACACCTGTTTGAACGTCTGAGTACTTCGACTGGTCCAGTCGACATATCTGCTAGTCACACATATTGCAGTACGTTGGTTGCTAGAGTGACTTTTTGCCAGCACGATCCGGCACTCAGGTATATTGCCAGAAATGTGGGAAATTCGGGGAAACAACTAACAAGAGTGCTCGATTGGATCGGGTTTATTGAAATGTTGCCAAAAGCCAGGGTTTGAGCCGTCTCAGAGGCTTTTTTTCAATCCCCACAAGGAGAACAAGGTCGCAATAAAAGGGACTCTTTATTGCTATAAGATCGGACCAATCAGATTGTGTCCTCGAGGGAGTAGCGACTCGATTGCCAATCTGATTGGTTTATCCGTTAGCCGGCAGGCTCGCGTGGTGTCGGCTCCTTGAATGCCGCGCGCGCGTGCGGGTCTGTGTGTGCGAACGGATAGCGTGGCGTGAGAGCGTCTTGCCCGGGTTACAAGTCTGTTAGCACGGCTTCTAACAGCTTCACCCTTCACCATCGGGCAGATACTGTCAATCGAGTTGACTGAGCATAGGTCGTGAATCCCTTAAGTAGGTTGGTCACCGCGATGAACCGAAATTTCGCTAACTGTGATAGATAAGGCTCGGCCACGAGAAGAACTTTGCTAAAACTAACTCGGCGTCAATATGTATTGAGGTGCCTTGACATTATCTATCGTTGTCTAGGAGGGAGAAATCAGCGACAGCCATACCAGAGCGATAAAATCTATGACCACGTACAGCAGAAGAACCGCACGTTTGCCTTTGATAA